AGATGCTCAGACAGACAGAGTAGACTGCAGCAAGGAGTTACCAGAAATTGCCAGAAATCTGAGGCTAACCCAGGTTGGGGCCCCTTAGGAATATCTGCTCCTCCTTCCAGTCTGCACTGTCTTTGACAGCTCGCCCGACCCTCTCCAGGAAGCTGCTGGCCAGCCCTGCACTGGCTCTGCACAGCCTGCGCCCCTGGGCTGTCTCTGGCTGGCTGCACACCCCCGACCCTGTATTCTGAGCTCAGTGCAGGTTTCACTTGCAAAAGGTCTGCCTGTCTTCCCTGTTCGCATCCCACCCCTGTTGTGGGATGGCCTTGCACCCGTGTTCCCTCTCTGCTGGGGCATTTCTGCAATTGCCCTTTCCATTCCTGGGTGACTCCCCTGCCTCAACCCCTTACCTATCTGCTCAGCTCCTGGCGCAGGCACAGCTGGGGTCACGGGCCGCGCCCAGGCCACACAGGCCCTGGGAGGGCTATCCACGAGAACCGGAGGGCTTGGCTGGGCAGGAGGGGAGCTCTGGTAACAGCACTTGACGTTAGGCACTTTTTAGATGGTGTACTTATTGTATGTGCTGAACATATGACTTCTTGCACCATGTTGATTTAAGGTTTTGCAGTTGGCTTAATTTAGACCACTAGCTCTCAACCTTTTTTTGCCTCAGAACTTCTGAGGGATATTTTAAAAGCCCTGATAAGCATCCCTGATCTTACAACTGGACCGAAAAGGCTCAGAGGCGGAGTTGGAGCCCTCGCACCGTTGCTGCACTCCATGGCTCCAGGGGACGTGTGTGCCAGGCCAGCCTCCTGGCCCAGTGGTCCCAAAGCCGTTACAGGGCGGATGACAGGCTGGCTGGGGGCTTAAAGCTGCCTCGCGCTCAAGTGACACCTACTGGAGTGGTAAGCACGAGAACCAGGCTGGACCAAGCGTGTATTTGGTACATGTGCCAACACCTGTCTCGGATCACCTGCCCCATTCTACCTCTCGAAGTGCACCTAGAGTTGGCGGTACCATAAGCCACCGTCATTCTTTGTGTACGTGTCTGTCCCCTCAAAAACTGCAAGTCGCCGTAGGGCCCAGACACTTGGATCGGAAGTCTGTGTCCCCAGGCCCAGTCTTGGGGCCCTTTCCACCAGGGCACACACCCGCTGTGGGCGGCCTCGGCACCCCACCTGCCAGGGCACAGCCAACAGAGCACTGTGCCGGGATTTGGGTCCAGGTCTCTGCGACCTGAACGCTTGTGTCTTTTACGCTGCATCGTGCTGTTTGCATACAACACAGACACAAAAAGATGTTGGTTTCATTGTTCAGTGGTGGTGCCACAGGGAAGGCGAGAGGGGAAGGGCGGGAACGGGCGCCCCGTGGCCGCAGCGGTGGCAGCCGTGCCGAGCAGCTGTCCAGGTGGGCCTGGCTGGGGCCAACGTCACAGCTGCTGCGCAGGCTGCAGGCAGAGAACGGCGGCGGCCGTCTGGGTGCCACAGCTTTTCAGCAGAACCTTGGCAGACGCAGTTTGGGGCTGCATGGGCAGTGTTTCTTCTCCGTATTTGTACTTTAATTAAGAGTCTTACAGCAAAAGCCAGGGAGAAAACTAGAAGAGGTGACTGTCGGCGAGATTCACTGCATTCAGCATGTCACCTGTGCATCTGTGCTTCTCCAAACAATTCTCGTTTTCCTTCTGTTCTTTACTGTGGGCTCTCTTGTGAAATGTGTATTCTTTAAAACTTTTGTTCTTTTGTTTATTTTGTTGTTCAAGATCTCAACTAAACCAAAACCAAAGAAAGAAGGGATTTTCTTTTGGTTTTGTTAATTATATGTTGTTAGTCTGCTGTCCAGTGAGAATTTGGGTGATGTTGAGTACAGTGGTGATGTCACTTCACAGTCAGTGCGTGATCATGTGGAGTGTGCACTCAGAGTCCACGGGCCTTTATTTACTTCAGGAGGCCAATGACTACTCAGCGGAGGAGTGATTTTAAAGCAAAATACACAGGAACTACAACAAAACACAGTCCTTGCTTTCTAGACTGTCATAAACAGTGTTTAGATCATATGTCTTCAAGTGTCTTGAAGTTTAAAATCTATTTCTACATTAAAAAACAACAACTCTGGTGTACATCTGGGCTAGAGTTGTGTATTTTTGTCCTTCAAACTCCAGCTCTATGCATAGAGCTTTCTGTGATTTTAGAACCTGGAAGCTCAGTAAGAAAAAAATATGACTTCAACTACTTATACTCAGCGTGCCTCCGGTAGCGAGGGTGACGTGCAGGGTGGCTGCAGGCTTCCCCGACACGGACGTGACGCTGGCGCACTTGCTCTGATGGGGAATCCAGCTCCCCGCACCTCGCTGACCTGCCGCAGAGAGCCACACTCAGTGCTCAGGAGCCCGATGGCCCCAGCCGGGGTGCCCGTCTCGGGTGGGAGTTAAGGGGGGTTCAGAAGCTGAAGAGGAGGGTTTGTTTTCAAATGGAACCAAAATTTTTGTCAGAGTTTTCCAAACCAGGATTATTTATTTCTAAGTTTGTTTATTTGTCTAAAAACTCTGTTCTTAATGTTTTTTAAAAGATCTCATTTTAAAGCAAGTTCCATTAAACCAAAAGTCAGACTAAAATAATTGCATTTATCATTAGTCTGAATTTTTAAATGTGTTTGCCCATAGTCATGGATAGAGAGGATACGACTTTTTATTTTTTTTAAATAACCTTTATTTTTTTAAAGTTAATATATGCAACATAGGAAACTGAAAAACACAAGAAGCAAAGAACAAAGTCATCCACAGTCACAAGCAGTTCACAGTTGGACGTGTCCTTCTAGATCCTGACACGTACACAACACCCAATGTTATGTATAGGATTGGGATAGTACAGTATGCATCATGCTTTTTCACACATCATGAATGTTTACCAATCCAAAATCCCAAAGTTATGTGAGTATTTTGATAACCAAGAATACACTACACCAACTCAATCTGTTAGGAAAAAATGTAATCCTGCCTTTCTTGGGACGAAAATTTCATAGAAGACAAAAATGGCAACAGGCCTCTAGATAAAAGTACTGGCAGAGTTCCGATTAAAATACTGCATTCCCTTAATGCTCAATTTAAAATCAAACATAAAGCAACAGAGAACACTAAGTGTAATGTTTCTAAGAGAATTCATTATCAGATCTATACCATTAAAGTATTAGCAAGAAGGTATGTTTCTATTGAATTACTGAATATATTCTTATAGTATAGCCGAAAAGGATGCACATACATCAATGGCCATCATCGAAATGTAAATATGAACACATCTGCATACTTCTCTCCTTTCATACTTCCTTCTGCCCCTCTGTTGCCAACCTAATGAACAAGTCCTTATATAGGTGGTTTAACAATTCCATGTCCAAGATGCATCTCTTCTATCAATTATCACCAAGATAATCACAAAATGCTATTCACTAGTTCTTTTTATCATACATTGTCACCTCAAGACATCTCCAAAACTTAGATGTTGCAAAATAATGAACTTTGTCCACAATAAACAGATACTTTACTAAAAATGCACATATAGACCAACGGTTATAATCTAAAGCCATCTTCTAGATACGGAGATACTAGCAAAGAGCCCGTCCCTTCACCCTTCCTCTTCCCCCACTCCAGCGACTAAGTACAGGACTATGTCTAGCTCCAAGAGGTGGATTAACAAAGGTCACTCCCAGAAGATAGTCCTTCCTAAAAACTAACAAAAGGACATATATAAAGGGATTATTTAACTACCTCTATTTTTAACATACTTTGAGCATTAGGATTTGTTTATCCTTTAATGCACAGCAATATTAACTAAAATGGACATATAGAAATAATCTAGCTCACTGGCACAGAACCCTTCTCTGCATACTTTCTCCTATCCTCCTCCACCACCCAGTGACAGCATACTCTCTAAGACACCAAGTTTAACAATTCCATTCCCCAAATGCAACCACTCCTATGAAATAACAAAAAACACCCAAGGGGTGTTACTTTAGCCCTCTACTTTTAACATATGTCGTGCACTTTTAAACATCTAGAAAGACTAGATGTTTCAAATAGGACTTAAGTTTTTTCCCACCATACACAGTAGCATTGAATGCACACGAATAACAAAAGCTACAATCTCAAAATGTCCTCTAAGTAGGAACATTCTAGCCTAGAACTCTTCCCCTTCCTACCTTTTACCAACCCAGTGGACAGGTCTAAGCATCTGTAATGCTTAGAGGGGATTTTAACAATTTCACTTCAGTAAGTATTTTTAAGAAAAATCTTTTATATGAATTTTAACTCAAAGTCTACTCAATGTATTAGTTTACTAAACTCTACTTTTGTCATACACTGGCAACCTCTTTATCTAGAAAGACTAGATGTTGTAAATTAGGACTCATTAGTCCTTTATATGTACTATATACACAGCAAAGTTAAATAAAATGCCCAGATATAAGGGACAATAGTCAGTCTCACCTCACCATAACCACATTGGTATAAAGCCCTTTGCACTTTCTTTTCTTTCCTCGCTGAACAGCACAGATATCCTATACTGCTCAGACAAGTGTTTGATCAATTTCCAAAAGACAGTATTTCATGAAGTTTAACAAAAGGTTATCTACAAAATGTGTTATTTACTACCTCTACTTTTAACATACTTTGTGCACTTCTAAACATCTAGAAAGACTAGATGTTTCAATTAAGGACTTAAGTTGTCCTCTATATACACAGTAGTGTTGAATACACACATGTAACAATGGTTATAGCTGAAAAGGCCAATGAATCAAACACCAATGATTCAGGGAAAATTTCGCTCTTAATCTCAGGTACACATATGGCTCCTTCTGAGTTAAAAGGTCTCGGAGGAAGCAGTTGTGTTCGGATGAGGGCCTTCCTTTATTTTAAGCACCCCGAATCCCAAATGCAGAGGAGTCAGACACACTGATGTCGTGCTGGTTAGAGGATGGAGCTGAGTGGTTGGGCTGACCTGTCCTTGCCATGTTTTGTCCAGTGAGCCTGCCCCTGCGGCCCGGCAGCCCCTGCAGCCCGGACGGAGCCCCGCAGGTACTGTCCGAGGCCGAGGAGACAGTGTCTGTCGGAAGCTGTCTCACGTCAGAAGACACAACCGAGGACTCGGGGGTGATGAGCTCCCCCTCCGACATCGTCTCTCTGGATTCACAGCATGACAGCGTGAAGTCCAAGGACAAGTGGGCCACCGACCAAGAGGACTGCAGTGACCAGGACCTCGCTGGAACCCCAGAACTGGGTCCCCAAAAGAGCCCCTCCTGGGAGAGGAATGGCTGCAGGAACTCGCATGTGAGGTGAGTCGTGGGACTGGTGGTGAGGGAAGTCACTCGCAGTCACACTCCTGTCTCTTGGGGTCCCCTGTGTGCCAGGGGCCCTCCACAGCGTCTCCACAACATCTCCATACTCTGGTGTGGGGCTTTGTTATCCACAGTCCTGTCTTCACACTGTTTTCAGATAGGCGGGTACTTATAAAAACGATGTGTTAATAATAGTGTCTTACTTGTTTAGACACTTCATGCAAGTGGTACCATACTCTCAGCCCACTTTCCTACTCAACATTATGTTTTTAAGGTTTATCCATGATGACACATGTGTTTTTCATTCATTTATCCATTTTCCTATTAATAGACACTTAGGTTGTTCCAGTTTTTCAGGACTGGAAACAATGAGCAGGTTGTAAATGTCTCTATTTACATGTAGAGAGCTTTCTAGAAGAAAAATTATTAAACATCAGAAAGACTCATCTTCAGCTTTGTGGAATAGTGACAGATTGCTCTACAAAATGCTTGTCCCACTGGCAAGCCCCTGGCTGGTGTCTACAACGTCCTTTTGTTCCACATCTATGCCCGTGTTGAAGATTAGTGGGCATCTTAATCTTTGCCAGTCCTGTAGGCATCAAATGGCATCTCATGTGGCTTTAATTTACAGTCCTCTGACAGTAGGGATGAGCATCTTGTCTTATGTTTATTAGCATCTTGGGTCTTCTCTTTTATGTGTTGCCTTTTGATAGCCTTTGCAGTCATTTGTATATAGAGAGTCTCTAAGTCTGTGGCCTGAAATTAACTTTTTTCTTTTATTGTACGATGATCGTCTTTTAATTTAATATCACTGAAAGAGTCCTTTTTCTCCTAAATGTATATGATGCATATTTAAGAGATCCTTCCCATACTCTGAAGGACTAAAGATAGTCCAAATGTCCCATGAAACTTTTAGTGTTGCTTTCTCACATTTGGACTCTGCTCTACCTGGGGTTTATTTTTGGGTGTTGTGTGAAGAAGGAATCTATTTATTTCCCACTGACTCTTGCTTCCACTTTGGTCATATATCCAATTTCTTTGTGCACACTGGGCTGTTTCCACATTCCTTCCAGTGCACTGGTTACTCGTCCGTCTCAGTCCAGCCCACACCGCCGTGATTCCTTCCCTTCACCCTTACACGGAAAGGCGTGTTCATTAGCCCGTTGACTATTTGTGCCTTTTAGATAACTCTAAGAACTAATCACATGACATTATGGAAATGTTAATAGAAATAAGGTAAAATGATTAAAGAATTAGGTCACAGGTCAGTCATTAAAATGAATGCTTTTATATTTTTCATGTTTTGTTCTAACCCTGTCCATATGAACACACAACTCTTTCTCTGGTTAATGTATTGTCAAGAATATTTTATTTAGATTTCTTTGTATCTAACATTTTATCATGAGCACTTTACCATGTTGTTATATATACTCCCTAATAATTATAAAATATAGCTCTTCAATTCCAAGGACAACTCCATGGCCAAGTTTAAATTTCATCAGAAAGGAAATTAGAAGGCAGCAGTTGGTCCCTTTCTGCCTACACCCTGCACAAGATGGGTCTAGCTGGGTTGGCCTGCGCTGTTTGCATCTGTGACAGCAGAGAAAAATTATGGCGTTTCCCTGTTATCATTTAACATAAAGAAAAATAGCTTTCTACTGTAATCTCCAGCTCTGTTCTGCTACTTTGCATAGGGATTGCACACGTTCGAGCTCCACATCTGAAACTAATCGGACACGTTTAACTCTGTGTCCCTGGGGAAACTGAGCATGAGACTCGGAGTTTGCTTTGCTGGTGCTGCCCCTTGACGTACAATCTTGCTGATTTCTATCCACCTATGGGAGTTAATGTTGACTGTGGCCACAGCCAGGATAATCATTGAGTCCTTGGAACCTGATGCTTTATCCAAATAGGGAACAGGGCATGTTTTTCTGCCCTCATTCTGTGGTGCCACTGAATTTGAAAGTAGTCTGGTAGGGAGGGAGGGTGAGTTGGAACCTGGCAGACTACAGTGGAATCTTACCACCTCTAACTAGTCATTTGACCATTGAGAGTCCACTTAATTTTGCCAACCTTTGCATTTTGATTATGCACATTGCAGGTAATGCCACCTACCCATCCAGTTGTCATGAGTCTATGCAATGCCCTGCACAGGAGGATACAGGACACATTGCAGGTCTGTTACGTAGCATCCATTGTCAGAGCTACTGCTGCTAGTTTTTGAAACTGGGCAATGAATTGCCCTGGCAGATCCCTTTCCTTTCCTGGGATTGAGCCAGTCCATCAGTCCAACGAGACTGAAGATGGCCTTGAGCCCTCAGCTCTATCTGTGTACTAACTTATTTGCCCAAGAGTGGGATCAACTCTACTCTTTCACATAGTGACTATAGTATTTCTTTTATTGGCTTTTTTTTTCTTTTTCATGCAAAGAATAGTTTTGGGGGGCTTTTTTTTTTACAGAAATTATCTCAACTGACAAATTAGGCATACTTGGATTTCAGGAAGATGTATCACATATCTGTTTCCAAATACATAATTTTTAGTAAATTTCGGGATTACTTCAAAGCAGTGCCTACAGTGCAGTGCAAAGGAGGGGTTGCAAACTTGAATGCTCGGCGGCCAGGCAGGGCCAGGTGAGGCTGAGGGAGGCTGCAGGTGAGGGGCCACAGGGGTGGTAGAAAGCTCCAGCTTTCTCTAAGGAGAGCAGCCTGGCTCCCTCCGTCTGGTTGCCACGTGGATTACAGACTCAGTGTGGGCCAGTTTTGGAAAAGAAGCCAGAAATCTAGATTTTTATGTGAAGTTTCCCAAATGTTAAATGTTGGCAACCAGTTAAAGCATTCAAGGTGAAAGTAAACATGGATGCATAGTGGGTGTGGCCATTCTCAGACATGCACTTTTGACCATTGCAGGATGCCTTGCTCCTTCTGCTTCTGCTTCAGAGAAAACAATGTTACTCTACTTGCCTATTTCCCCATTTGGGAATACAGTTGCAGCTTCTCAGGTAATCACTGTGTTGTAGCACCAGAAAAAGAGCTATTTGCATGTAAATTTGGGAGGCCATCACATGCTCCTCTTAGTCTCAGTGAGATCATAAAGGCTCTTACAAATTCTGCAGCATAAAAACCAGTTTAAATTTTCTTCTATGAGATGCCTCTTCATGTTCTCTAGAATGAGCTCCTGTCAGCACTCCTTGGGAAATACTGTCATATGTCATCTCCCTGGCACACTCAGAGCATGTACAAATACACACATCTGTTACATGGACACAGTGAGAATCTGCCTCTTCTGATGAAAACAGTGCATTCTGAGGAAAGCTCTGAGTGCACGGCTGCAGTTAACCAGGTCGAGCACCTGTGCAGCATGAGGGCACTAGGAGCTGGAGGAGGCAGGACTGGGGCTTAGACAAACTGCAGGGGCTGCCCAGGCAGCAGAACTCGGGTGTGACCCACTGCAGATGTCCAGCCCATTGGGTGGCCATGCTTGGTGAGATGGGAACCTGTGCCAGGGCACTGAAAGCTCAGAACCCACTGCTGTTCACAGGGTTGTTGCTTGCCCTGGCCACCCACATAGAAAAGCCATATCGGAACATTGAACAGTAGCGTCCATGTCCCTCTGGGGCACAGTGATCAAGAGAAGCAGTGGAAAAGAGGAGGTTTCTGACAACCCACACTCTTGAGGAGGATGACCAGCATGAACAAAGGCTGCCGAGTGTCCTTACTCAGGACCTAGAGCCCCCCTGTGCTCCTGAGACGTGTGCCCCACTAGCACCTTGATAAAGTGGGCCATACGACAGGGCGTTACTGTTGTTACTGGTACCCAGTGCCTGGTCCTTGAGTCTAGGCTCCTGGCTCCACACTAATAATTCTGATACCTAGTTCCTGCAGCTCATCCTGAGGTAGGCAGTTGTGTTCCCAGAACCAGTGTTCCTTCTACATGGCAGACCATGGTGAACCTGGTCCAGGCTGTGAGGTGTGCCCTGCCCATCCCTTTTGAATGCCAGATCTCAGGGGCTCAGACACAGCAGAAGTCACCTTTGCCGTGACTGGCAAGGCCAAGCCTCCAGGCTGGGAGTGGATTCTGATAGGTTGTGAAGCTGTCCCAACAGTCACAGACACCCTCAGCTTGCAGAAAGTCTCCAGGATGGAGCCACTCACCACTAACGTAAGGATTGCTGATGGTTCTCCAATTTGCCGAGTGGTACGTTCTGCTGCCACCCCCAAACTTGAGTACTTAGGGAACACCACTGGGCAACAGCGTTAAAACCCTCCATCACCTGAGAGGACCCCAGTGTGTGAGGTCTACAGGGTCAAGTTCTAGTTTTCTTGGCTATTTTTCCTTTGTACCCTACGAAGGTCAAAGTCATCTAGGCTTCTTCGGTCGGTCGGCTAGGATTGCCTGGATTCATGCATTGACAAATTGGAGGCAATGCCTTTTCCTCAAGAACTCTGCCACCTGTCTCAGGAGCACGGTGTTGGGTTGGCCTCAGCCAAAACCTGCCCTATACTGTCTGGCCGAGTAGAAAATTCACTGCTCTGGCTTCAAACAGTTGTATGTAGAAGTTTGGCCCCTGCCGCAGCAGCCCATGCATGCTTCACCAAGGGCAGCGCTGGCAGCTCCATCCCATGCCCTTAGAGCTGAGGCTTTAAGTTGGAGAGTCCCAAGAATAAATAGCAATCTTCTAAAAAGAGCAAGTGTGAATGGTTAGCAATAATTGAAATCTGTTGTATGTGCTGCAATTTGAAAAGGATATATTGTCCAGCAAGTCATTCGACTGGATCCAATTATAATTTTTCACTGCAAAATATGTCTGTACTTTCTATTCAAACTTGACCTTGTAAGCAGAGCATTAAACTCTGGGAGTCTTCCTCTAAACTTAGTACAGCCAGTAAATAAACTCTTTAAGGAAGAATTCATCCCCAGGGCTAAACAGGAACAGCAGAAATTGCATGTGATGATTGCCCCTCATTCTGGGGACACCCAGATGGCCCTGAGGGAGG